GTGAACAAATAATATGGAACAACCTATGTTAAAATGCTAAGGTAAATGCGACAAATAAATTAGACGGATAGAGTGATATAACCAACGAAAAAGAATCATTTTTTTTCTTCAAGTGAATCTGTTCAGTTTACATTATTCAACTATTATTACGAGTAAGATTAGAGTAAGTAGACATTAAACATATAATAAATCTAGTAAATTCTAATTTGAATTAAACTTTAACAAAATATATACTCCGTAGTACCCTAGCTAGGATTTTGATAAATATTTCATTTGTTGTTACAAATACGTAGTATCCTGTTTTATAAACATATCATTTCACAAGTAATTATTAACCAATGTCTACAAAAAAAAAAAAAATAGCCGATAAATAAAGATGGAATAAATGGTACGAACTATGCAGTAATAACATGAACAAGGTGTTATTCTATCTTTAATTGACATTTGTTTGTGCGCTGGTAAACGCATTAAAAGGGAAGCGTCCATTGTACAACCCCGGCTGTACGGTGCTCACCGTACAGCCGGTGGCATTTTTGTAATATAATGTAAAAATTGTGGTTTATGCTAAGTGATCATTCATGTACGGTTAATGAGCAAGAATCCAATGTTAATGGGTATTAGGAGTCTAATAATGAACGCCGTGTTATTAAAAGAAAGCTCATATCACAACTAAAAAAACGGTGGCATTTTTGTAAATTACATGAAATTCGCGTCTTGTACTAAATGAGCATTAAAACACGTCTAGTGAGCATGTGACATATTTTGCTGAGCATTACACGCATAACAATGAGCATCATGATCTCTGCTTCACCTCTTCTAATTTACTTTCTTTTCCTTATTTTTTTCTAAACTTTTGAAATATACATTGTTATGCCATTTTACAAATGAGCATAATATGAATAGCCGTTGAACTTACATAACTTATAAAGTGAGAACTAGTATTTAACATGTGCAACCTTTTAAAATGAGCATAAAACAGTAATAAATGAGCATACATAACTTACATAACGAGTATCAAAATATTAAAAAACTCATTTGTGTGTGCTCATTCATTTTGGGCGTTATAATCATTTGAGTTTAACATAAAACTCATTTTGAAATATGCATGAATATGACATTTTAAAATGAGTATTGAACTAATATCAAATGAGTATACATTAATTACGCAATGAGCATTCAAAAAAATCATTTGAAATGTCTACTATGCTCATAGTTTCATTTGTTATGCTCATATCATAAGTGAGCGAACTCCCTCACCAAACTTGGGTAAGAAAAAGAGAAAAAGGAAGAGTCCAGAGCAAGAAAGAGGAGAAGAAGCAATTAGGGCTATACACAAGGAGGAGCTGCCATAGAAGTCGCAGCTCAAGCCAGAGTTTGAGGGGTTGAGCTCGTGCTGGAAGGTCGTGGTTGTCGAGAATTGTCATCTGTGTAGGCAACGAGCGAAGGACGAGTAACAATATCAAACGAGTATAAATCACTTAAGAAATGAGTATCACAAAGTTTAAAAAGCTCATTTAAAATTTCTAGTATGCTCTAACATTTTCATTGAGCATCAAATTTCTTGTATTGAGTATTAGAAACATGCAATTGAATATCATGACATGTGCTCTCATATCTATAATCAACTCATACATGAATTTAATGTAATGTGATAGTTTTGAAATGTGCATGGATATAACATTTTAAAATGTGCATAACACCAGTATCAAATGGGCATTCATAACTCGAGCAATGATATGAAAATCATAAGCTTTGTTAGTTGAACATCAAAACATTTTTATTGAGTATCAAACATCCTCTATTGAGTATTACAATTATGCAATTGAGTATTATTAATCAAAGTGAAAGAGGCAAAATTATTTTTAATCAAACTTAAACCTTAATTAATTCATTTTGAAATTCTCAAATTAAAGTTGCTAACAAGGAATGAAAACGAAAAAAAGAAGTGGAAGTCTACAAGTCTCAAAGTAATCCATTGCAATTGACGACATCTGCAATTGTCAGAGTCCGCAGAATCCACTTCAGGCAGCTACTCCACCTTCTTCGAAGACGTTAGTTAATCATTTGTTTGATTCAAGTCCCGTGTTAATTTCATGAAAAGTATTTGACTTTGAGTGTTGAATAGTTGATTCCTGGGAAGGAAGCATCAGAACGATTCGATGATGTAGTGTCAGGGTTGGAAGCCTGTGATGGAAGCCCTGCAATTTCTGAACTGCGATGGAATCGTGTAGGCAGCGAGCGAAGGACGCCTTGCAAACTGATGAAAGCCTTGCGATTTGTGAACTAAAAGGCCGGCTGTACCGTGCGCACGGTACAGCCGGCTGTACGATATAATTTGCCCATTAAAAGCTAATTAAGAATGGTTAACTTAAATTAGGTCATACCTAAATAGATAAGAACATATTTACACAAATCATGAAAGAGTAGTTAAGCTACATTTAGTCCACGACAACATGTATTTATAATACGGAGTAAATATTACAATGATGACCCTGACCTACATCTAGAATTGTTGTTCAGATATACGTAGTATATGTCCCTTTTTGTTATATGTGAAAAATGTGATTAGTGGTAATAATTATGGTAGAAATCAAGTGGTTATTACGGGGTATTTCATCCAAAAAACAACAGGAAGTACCATTTCCAATATGATACGGAGTATCATTACACGTGATGTTCCGTTGAAGTGCAACATTAATTATTTGAGAGACCGTGCAAAAGAATTGAGCTTGTTGCATTGTTTTAAATATCACTTTTTTTTACCCATGTGCTAGGAAAAAAAATGACATCTCATCCCTGGAAACTTACAAATCTCATCCCTAGAAGCCTAGTATTGATGGGAGGATATAAATTGAGTTTTAATTTCACACTAATGAGAAAAAAATGAGGTTTCATATTAAGTTTTTTTTGAAGTTGAACTCGAGATCTCCTTTTTGTAGCACCGTCTTCTTGTCAGGTGAGCTTCACCACCCCTGATTTCAGGGATGGATTTAAGGGGGGCGCGAGGGGGCGACTGCCCCCCCTTGGACTTTCGAATTTGTCTACTATATATGTAATATTTTCAGACATTAGTTAGATATATATGTTTTCGCCCCCCTTATCTTTTAGTTTTCAAAATTAATATATAAGCTCACATAATTTAATTCTTAATTGGAGATTTAAAAGAAGTAAAATCTAAAATAATTTACATAACTTAAACAAATAAACAATAGAACAACTCATTGTTCAAGACTTGGGATACCTATTATATTAAAAAAAATTAGTTTTGAAATGTTTAATTATCTTTATTAGATAATAATTAGTACTCTATTTTGTAAAATATCAATGATATTAAATATCAGACACAATATATAGTTAACCAGTTTTTAGATGATGTAAAGTGTATCCAAAATATAAATGTTTGTTGACACTAAATTACACAATCAATTTAATTCTTACTTTGTAAAAACAATTTGTTGCATAGATAATAAACTTTATCTTATTTTAGCATTAATACAGATAAAATATGCATCATGTATACATGAATTAACAATACTATGTATCATATTATTCTAAAACTAATAATCTCATACATACTATTGTAATATTAAGAATGGAAAATGGAAACTAATAATCCAACCTTTTAGCGGTCTTCTTACCATAATCCAACCTTTGCACCTCATCTTCATTCACTGGTTCCTGACCGATTGATGACCTGCTATTCCAAGCTATTTTCTTATCTTTGCAAATCATTATACCATAAATCTCATCTTTCACAAAGATAATATTTTGCAAAGATAAGAAAATAACTTGGAATAGTAAGTCATTAACCGACCAGGGACCAATGAATATTGAAGATGAGGTGCAAAGGTTGGATTATTCATGAATAATCAAAAGGTGGAATTATTGAAAGAAGACCGCTAAAAGGTTAGATTATTAGTTTCCATTTTCCCTATTAAGAAAACTTCTCGTGATCCATGAATACCCTCATTCGTAGACAAAAATTGCAATTCAAAAATCGATTCTTTATTCTGATAAAATTCATGTGGTTAAACAAAGCAGAAATTATTTAAAAAGCATCGGTCCTTGTGTACCTTTTAAACTCTTTACCTTAAAATAATTTGATAAAATGTTACTCCGTATATCCTTTCTAATTTTCAAATAATTTTCTAGAACACTAACTATTATTAAATCAAAGTTATTTTTTCATTATCTACAATTAGAATGTAATATAATAGATTTAAATGTCACCGTGTATTTACGAATGGAATTTTTTGAACAAAAATTAGCCACAGAGTCCTACACTAGTGAAAAAAATCGCCCCGCTACAATAGTGAAAAAAATTTCACCCTATTTGTAACACCGTCCCCAAATGTACTTACTTTTAAGAGTATAATGTATTGAACCTTATGGAATGGTTAATGAATATACGAAGTGGTGAATTTTTAATATTTCTTTTGCGTGAAATAATAAATTCGCACGTGGGACCCACACCGGGAGCGGGGCCGCCCGAATTTCCCGAAACCATATATTTTATTTATCTTGGTCAAGATAATATTTATATAGTGGTGGCTACTTCATTTGAACCATGGAAAGGCCCAGAGTTGACCGATTGGTCAAAAGAAGCCCAAATATCGGTATTGATAATTTAACCGATAAAAGCCCGAAATCGAATTTCGGGGACTTATAAATTAAAGTTTGGGAATGTATATTCATTATAAAGGGTATAATGATTAAGAACACATAATATATTTTATTTGACCCGATAAAATAAAATATATTTAAAACAGTCCGAAAAATACAACTTTCGGGACCGATTGTACACTTCGGGACGAATTAGGATGACCTCCCACATAGGTGGGGGCCACCCCACGAAATTGTCAACCAAAAGGGGATTGATTGAGCTCAAAAGGTGGCTGAATACTCTTGAGTTGATGGAGGAAACATGTTTGACATGTAAGAGGACCCATCTCACCCATAATTGCCCAAAAGAAACAAAAGAAACTCACCCCCTCCTTCCTCACTCAACCACTTCGGCCAGCACCAAGGAAAAGAGGAGAAAGAGCCCTGCAAACTCATCCTCCATAGCCAAGAACCGAGCTCAAGGAGGAGTAGTCCAAAGAAGGTGTTTCAAGAGGAGAAAAGCTAGGAAAAAGTGAGAAAGGTTGAGGTAATGGCCTTATCATAGCTTTTCCTTTATTTTTCTTCTACCATATGAGATATATATCATATGAAGAACATTGAGGATTGTTCCACATGATTTAAGTATAGAATGATGGGTTGGAAGGGGGTTCTAAGTCCAAAAACGGACTTAGGAGCCAAACCGACAAGTTCACCGGAAAATAACCTTTTAGAGGTTATTCGTATTGATTAAGGTTTTATGATGTTAAAACCTTGTTAGGAACTTGATTAAAGTACTTTGGAGCTTCGCCGGAGTTTCGCCGGAGTTGGTCAAAGTTCGCCGGAGTTGGTCAAAGTTTGCCGGAATTAGTCAAAGTTCAATCGGGAAGCGTAGAACGCGCTTAAGCTCGCTTAAGGTGAGGATGACTGACTATATTGCTTATAATCTTTGGGTTAATTTCATAAGATTTCCTAAATGAATATACAATGTGATTTGCATGGATTATTAATGGTTAATAATGCCTAAATGAAATTACTATTGATTATAAGTATAGTTTGCATAATATACAAATTTATTGAATAAGTTGTGTATGTTTAAATGTTATGAGTATGATGGCATGATAGTGGTATCAACCATAAACCCCATTTGTGATAAGTATGCTTTTATTTCATGAGGAGAAGCCATGAAAGGATAAAAGTGATATTTTGATATTAAGGCCAAATTACATATTGAATGAAGAATTATAATGAAATGAGTAAATAACTAGTATTGAAATATTAGTTGGAATTGTAGTGGAATAATGGATGAATGGATCCTAAGAAATTGAATTGTAAAGAATCGGTGATTATTGAGCTGGGCTCTAGACCGATGTAGTTAACGGTGATTATTGAGCTGGGCTCTAGACCGTAGTAGTTATCGGTGATTATTGAGCTGGGCTCTAGACCGATGTAGATAACGGTGATTATTGAGCTGGGCTCTAGACCGTAGTAGTTATCGGTGATTATTGAGCTGGGCTCTAGACCGATGTAGATGACGGTGATTATGAGCTGGGCTCTAGACCGTGATAAGTAATGGTGAATTGAACAAATCGAACGAAGTTAATTATAATATGATAACACCCTAGTTTGAGGGACTTGGAATTGAAACATTGATTATACTTAGTATAGTTGTCATTGTACTTGTCAAATGCTTCCAAGTACTGACCTCCCCTTCACGGGGGAGGCCGCCTCACAGTTTCAGGTAGGAGCTGAGCTTGCTACCAGTGCCGTTACTCCGGGAGAAATTCAAGGAAGGAAGACGTGGTTCGTGCTTCCTCCGTTTCTGTTTTAAAACGTTTAAATCAATGCTCATGGATATTATATTTTTGGAATAATCATTTGGGGCTTGTATGCCCACGTTTGCCAAAGTGTGGCACGAACACTTGTAATGAATGTTTCCGCTGCTTTAAATGAATATTTTACATTATGTTTGTTTATGGATGTATTATGTGTGAATGATATTCCAGACGCCTTGTATAGTATGGATGTGTTGGACTGCGGTTGACTATTCGTACTGTACGGCGGGTTGTTGACGTGTCCGGTTAGGTCCGGGGCGTGACAATTTAATTGGTATTAGAGCCTTAGTCCGTAAACTTCATAATGAAGCTTCAAAATCTCTTTTCGAAAATGAATTTGAAAACCATGAGCATAAAAGTTTTGTACTTATAGAACTTTTGGTACTTGAGTTGCAAAGTCTCTAATTGTTAAGATGGTACCCTTAACAATTGGTATGGCGGTGATTTGAGCCAAAGGATGTCTTTAAGTACCTATCCGTCACTTGACATTGATACGAGTCTAATGACTCATTCTACTTCCTTTCAGAAATGGAGCCAATCGGAAGGATCACTAGAAGGAACCCGACGGGCCGTGTACCGGGTGGATCCGAGCGCGGTAGCCGAGGGTCCTCTAGGGGATCAAGAAGAAGGGGCCGTGGAGGCCAAACCCAAACCGTGAGCGATGGCCACGTCGAGACGGAAAGTGAGACCTATTGGTCTTATGAAGATTCAACCTACCGGCCGGAAACGGAGCCGGTTGAGACCCCTTATGAAGGGGATGATGATGATGTGAGTGACGAGGAGGAAAATGGCTCCTTGGCTAGGATTGAAGCGCTGCTCCAACAATACCATCGGGAGCGCGAGGAAAGGAGGGAAAGCCGAAGGCGCCGTGTGGGGCAACCTTCGGGAGGGGCTTCTAGGGGAAGGAGTTTCTGTGATTCGAGGACCCATGTGGAAGCACATGGGAGTCGAGGTGATGGAGGTCCAACCATAAGGATCTCCAAATACATCAAAGAGGCGAGGGACTTGGGATGCAAACCGTTCGATGGGACGGGAGACATCTCGGTTGCCGCGCAGTGGATCAAGAGGCTGAACGAGGCAGCCCTTGACATGCAACTCACCCCCGATTTCAAGCTGAGAATCGCGGTGAGGTTACTTGAAGGTTTGGCATCCAAGTGGTGGGATGGAACCAAGGGCAAGTACGGCGGGAATGTCACTTGGGAGGACTTTCGGCAAGAATTTTTTGCCCAATACTACTCTGACTTTGAGGTAAATGCCAAGGTGAGAGAATACACTCTTCTGACCCAAGGGGGTAACATGACGGTGAAAGAACTTGAGCATAAGTTCAGGGACCTTGCCGACCACATACCGGAGTATGCTTGTGATGAGAACCGAATGGTGAATCACTTTTGGGAGGTCTTGGACCTGGAGATACGTGATAGGGCGACTCAATTGCCCAACATGACTTTCAGCCAAGTGGTTGCCCAGGGGCTGAAGGGAGAAAAACAATGGGAGGAAAGGAAGAAGAGGGACGCCGAGGAGGCGAAGAAGAGAAAATGGGAGAACCATGGCCCCCAAGGTTCCAATAAGAAGGTGAACCATGGGGGAGGAGGATCATTTAGGGCACCGGCACCGCCATCTAGGGGAAGCTCAGGCACGGGTGGACAAAACTCGGGCTCGCAAGCCCCAATGATGATTAGATGCAGGAACTGTAACAGGAACCATGGGGGTAAGTGTCGTGACCCTCCTCGGTGCTACCAATGTGGAGATACGGGGCACATTAAGCCAAACTGCCCTCAACTTGGTGGGAACCGAGGGGCGGGATCGAGTGGCGCTACTACGGCAAGTAGGAACCGGAATGGGGCACCTCATGCTAGTACGGGGCAAGGGGGAGCGAGCACGAGCAACGCGCCGTCCGTGAATCAGGGGAGGTCTCAAGCACGGGTCTATGCGATGACCGAGGCCGACGCTCGGGCTAATCCCGACTCCGTTGCAGGTAATCCTTTGTAACAATTGATAAATTACATGTATTGAGTGCTAAAAGTGATAGCGGGTTTGTACGGGCTCGCCGGGGGCCGATACCGGCCGGTTTCCTAGCAAAAAGTTGCAAAAATAAACTGCCCAGGGGTAAACCGGCGCCGGTCGAGGCTTAAACCGGCGCCGGTTCTAATTAAAAACGCCCGTTTTGGGGTTGCCGTGGGTAAACCGGTGCCGGTTTTGGGCCATAACCGGTGCCGGTCAAGGGTCGGGGTGACTCAAGCCAATTAAAAATCGAATTCCGGGGGACGCCGTAGCAAAACCGGCGCCGGTTTTGGCCATAACCGGCGCCGGTCTAAGGGAAAAGAGGTCGGAAAAATCACTGTGCTCGTAACCGGGGCCGGTTTTTGAAGAAAAACATTTTTTCGAAGTTGCCGATGGTAAACCGGCGCCGGTTTTGGCCATAACCGGCGCCGGTCCAGTTCAATTTACGTGTATCCGGCCACCCCGAAGGCAAACCGGCGCCGGTCTTGCCTAGAACCGGCGCCGGTCCAGTGTATTTTTACCCGAAAAATTTTCGTTAAGCCCCGTTTCAATCCGGTACGTTGACTAGTGTGTCTTACATGACTTATATATGTAGGAACATTAAAGATCAATGGTAGAAACGCAAGAATTCTCATTGATACCGGGGCACAACGTTCATTCGTGAGTGAAGCGTTTGCCGAAAGTTTAAACGTGCCGTTGATAGAAATGACGCAACCCTTGTTGGTCTCTACACCGTTGGGAGACGATGTGGAGAGGAAACACTACTACCCTTCGTGTGAGGTAGAAGTGACGGGTCAACCTTTGACTTGTGACTTCGTACCTCTAAGTATGTTAGAATTCGATGCAATTCTAGGGATGGATTGGCTTGAGAAACATCATGCTCGAGTGGATTGTTATGCCAAGGTTTTGGAACTCGAGGGTGCTGAGGGAAACACTCTACGTTTCGAGGGAGATCGGGGAGGATCTCATAGTTGTATAATATCCGTGATGAGGGCACGGAAGATGATGAGGAAGGGATGCCACGCATACCTTGCTTACGTGGTGGATGAAGCAAAGAAGGAGGTTGACATCAACGATGTACGTGTCGTGTGAAAATATCCGGAAGTCTTTCCCAAAGACTTGCCGGGGCTACCACCCGACAGAGAGATCGAATTCGTGATTGAAGTGGAGCTGGGAACCAAACCCATTTCGATTCCCCCTTATCGAATGGCACCGGCCGAGCTTCAAGAGTTGAAGGTTCAACTTCAGGAGCTATTGGACAACGGGTTCATTAGACCCAGTCATTCACCCTGGGGAGCACCCGTACTCTTCGTGAAGAAGAAAGATGGCACACTAAGAATGTGTATAGACTACCGACAGTTGAACAAGGTCACGATAAAAAACAGGTATCCTTTACCGAGGATTGATGACTTGTTTGATCAACTTCGAGGGGCAACAGTATTCTCGAAGATTGATTTAAGGTCGGGGTATCATCAGTTGAAGATAAAGGAGAGTGACATACCTAAGAGTGCATTTCGCACTAGATATGGTCACTACGAGTTTTTGGTGATGTCATTTGGTTTAACCAACGCACCGGCGGCATTCATGGACATGATGAACCGTGTGTTCAGTGAATACTTAGATCAATTTGTGATAGTATTCATTGACGACATTTTGATATACTCCAAGAGTGAAGAGGAGCATGAAGATCATTTGAGTCTTGTACTTGAACGGCTAAGGGAAAAACAACTCTTTGCCAAGTTCTCTAAATGCGAGTTCTGGCTCAAAGAGATTGGGTTTCTCGGGCATGTCGTGTCAAGTTCGGGCATTTCGGTGGACAACGCCAAAATAGAAGCCATTATGAATTGGGAGAGACCCAAAAATGTGAAAGAGATACGTAGTTTCCTTGGCTTAGCGGGATATTATCGTAAGTTTGTTGAAAAATTCTCCGTGTTGGCGTCTCCATTAACAAAGCTCACGAAGAAAGGGGCCAAGTTCACATGGGACGACAATTGTGAGAGAGGGTTTCTTGAACTAAAGAAACGGCTTACAGAAGCACCAGTTCTCGCCCTACCCACACAAGGGATAGGGTACGACATATATAGCGATGCTAGCATCCAAGGGCTGGGGTGTGTACTAATGCAAAACGGGCGGGTGATTGCCTATGCTTCTAGGCAATTGAAGAAACACGAGGCGAACTACCCTACCCACGATCTGGAGTTGGGAGCGGTAGTGTTTGCACTGAAGATTTGGCGGCATTATCTCTACGGGGAGACATGCCACATTTTCACCGATCATAAAAGCTTGAAGTATGTATTCACTCAGAAAGAGTTGAATATGAGGCAAAGGAGATGGATGGAGTTGATCAAGGACTATGACCTGATCATCGACTATCATCCCGGAAAGGCCAATGTAGTGGCCGATGCACTGAGCAGGAAGAGTACGTCGGGGACATTACTCACATGTCTACGAACTTTGAGGGCACAAGTGGAGGTGTCCACGAGTGGGTCCTCATTGCTAGATTCGAAGTTAGGCCTACATTGCTGAGTGAGATCAGTAGATGTCAGGCCACTGATGAAGAATGCCAGAAGATCCGCGAAAGGATCCTCGAAGGGCTCGTGGAGAACTTTCGGGTACGTGATGACGGTCTTTTACTGTTTAAAGACTGTGTATGCATACCAAAGAGTGAGGAGATCCAAAAGTCCATACTAGAGGAGGCCCATTCTTCGGCATATGCTATGCATCCAGGAGGTACTAAAATGTACCGAGACTTGAAGGAGAGCTACTGGTGGTCGGGTATGAAGAGAGACATCGCAGAGTACGTGAGTCGATGCCTTACTTGCCAGCAAGTTAAGTCAGAACACCAGCACCCGGCGGGGCTTTTGCAGCCACTGACCATTCCGGAATGGAAATGGGAGCATGTGACCATGGACTTCGTGGTGGGGTTACCACGAACAGTGAACAACTATGATGCAGTATGGGTAGTGGTTGATAGGCTCACCAAGAGTGCACACTTTTTACCTATCAACATTACTTATCCTCTTGAAAGATTGGCAAAGCTATACACGGAGGAGATTGTGAGACTGCATGGAGTTCCGATATCCATTGTTTCGGATAGGGACCCACGTTTCACATCCCGATTTTGGCCTTAGTTCCAAGCATCCCTGGGTACTAAACTGAAGTTTAGCACAGCTTTTCATCCGCAGACGGATGGACAATCTGAGAGGGTGATACAGATTCTGGAAGATATGCTTAGGGCGTGTGCTTTAGAGTTCCAAGGAAGTTGGGACAAGCATTTGGCTCTAGTCGAGTTTGCCTATAACAATAGTTATCAGGCGAGTATTGGCATGCCTCCATACGAGGCATTGTATGGGAGGAAATGCAGAACACCGTTGTGTTGGGACGAGGTTGGCGAGGCCAAGCTCGAGGGGGTTGAACTTGTGGAAATCACCAAGGCTAAGGTGAAGATCATTCAAGATAGACTCAAGGCTGCCCAAGATCGGCAGAAGAGTTATGCCGACAAACGACGCAGGCCATTGGAGTTCGAGGTCGGTGATAAGGTCTTCCTAAGGATTTCTCCTTGGAAGGGTATCATCCGATTTATATCGAGGGGAAAGCTTAACCCCAGATACATTGGTCCATTTGAAATCCTTGAAAGGATAGGGGTCGTGGCGTACCGTCTCAAGTTGACTCCAGAACTTGAGAAGATACACGACGTGTTTCATGTATCGATGCTCAAGAAATACGTGAGAGATCCGTCTCATATTCTTGAGAAGCCACCGGTGGAGATACGTGAAGATCTACAATATGCGGTGGAACCAATAAAGATTGTGGGTCAACAGGTGAAGAAACTAAGGAACAAAGAGATTCCTATGGTAAAGGTTCTTTGGAGGAGTGATCGAGTCGAAGAGGAAACCTGGGAGACTGAAGTCTCAATGAGGGAGCAATACCCGTTTCTTTTCGATTAGACACGTGGATTTCGGGGACGAAATCCCAGATAAGGGGGGGTGAACTTGTAACACCGTCCCCAAATGTACTTACTTTTAAGAGTATAATGTATTGAACCTTATGGAATGGTTAATGAATATACGAAGTGGTGAATTTTTAATATTTCTTTTGCGTGAAATAATAAATTCACACGTGGGACCCACACCGGGAGCGGGGTCGCCCGAATTTCCCGAAACCATATATTTTATTTATCTTGGTCAAGATAATATTTATATAGTGGTGGCTACTTCATTTGAACCATGGAAAGGCCCAGAGTTGACCGATTGGTCAAAAGAAGCCCAAATATCGGTATTGATAATTTAACCGATAAAAGCCCGAAATCGAATTTCGGGGACTTATAAATTAAAGTTTGGGAATGTATATTCATTATAAAGGGTATAATGATTAAGAACACATAATATATTTTATTTGACCCGATAAAATAAAATATATTTAAAACAGTCCGAAAAATACAACTTTCGGGACCGATTGTACACTTCGGGACGAATTAGGATGACCTCCCACATAGGTGGGGGCCACCCCACGAAATTGTCAACCAAAAGGGGATTGATTGAGCTCAAAAGGTGGCTGAATACTCTTGAGTTGATGGAGGAAACATGTTTGACATGTAAGAGGACCCATCTCACCCATAATTGCCCAAAAGAAACAAAAGAAACCCACCCCCTCCTTCCTCACTCAACCACTTCGGTCAGCACCAAGGAAAAGAGGAGAAAGAGCCCTGCAAACTCATCCTCCATAGCCAAGAACCGAGCTCAAGGAGGAGTAGTCCAAAGAAGGTGTTTCAAGAGGAGAAAAGCTAGGAAAAAGTGAGAAAGGTTGAGGTAATGGCCTTATCATAGCTTTTCCTTTATTTTTCTTCTACCATATGAGATATATATCATATGAAGAACATTGAGGATTTTTCCACATGAGTTAAGTATAGAATGATGGGTTGGAAGGGGGTTCTAAGTCCAAAAACGGACTTAGGAGCCAAACCGACAAGTTCACCGGAAAATAACCTTTTAGAGGTTATTCGTATTGATTAAGGTTTTATGATGTTAAAACCTTGTTAGGAACTTGATTAAAGTACTTTGGAGCTTCGCCGGAGTTTCGCCGGAGTTGGTCAAAGTTCGCCGGAGTTGGTCAAAGTTTGCCGGAATTAGTCAAAGTTCAATCGGGAAGCGTAGAACGCGCTTAAGCTCGCTTAAGGTGAGGATGACCGACTATATTGCTTATAATATTTGGGTTAATTTCATAAGATTTCCTAAATGAATATACAATGTGATTTGCATGGATTATTAATGGTTAATAATGCCTAAATGAAATTACTATTGATTATAAGTATAGTTTGCATAATATACAAATTTATTGAATAAGTTGTGTATGTTTAAATGTTATGAGTATGATGGCATGATAGTGGTATCAACCATAAACCCCATTTGTGATAAGTATGCTTTTATTTCATGAGGAGAAGCCATGAAAGGATAAAAGTGATATTTTGATATTAAGGCCAAATTACATATTGAATGAAGAATTATAATGAAATGAGTAAATAACTAGTATTGAAATATTAGTTGGAATTGTAGTGGAATAATGGATGAATGGATCCTAAGAAATTGAATTGTAAAGAATCGGTGATTATTGAGCTGGGCTCTAGACCGATGTAGTTAACGGTGATTATTGAGCTGGGCTCTAGACCGTAGTAGTTATCGGTGATTATTGAGCTGGGCTCTAGACCGATGTAGATAACGGTGATTATTGAGCTGAGCTCTAGACCGTAGTAGTTATCGGTGATTATTGAGCTGGGCTCTAGACCGATGTAGATGACGGTGATTATTGAGCTGGGCTCTAGACCGTAGTAGATGACGGTGATTATGAGCTGGGCTCTAGACCGTGATAAGTAATGGTGAATTGAACAAATCGAACGAAGTTAATTATAATATGATAACACCCTAGTTTGAGGGACTTGGAATTGAAACATTGATTATACTTAGTATAGTTGTCATTGTACTTGTCAAATGTTTCCAAGTACTGACCTCCCCTTCACGGGGGAGGCCACCTCACAGTTTCAGGTAGGAGCTGAGCTTGCTACCAGTGCCGTTACTCCGGGAGAAATTCAAGGAAGGAAGACGTGGTTCGTGCTTCCTCCGTTTCTGTTTTAAAACGTTTAAATCAATGCTCATGGATATTATATTTTTGGAATAATCATTTGGGGCTTGTATGCCCACGTTTGCCAAAGTGTGGCACGAACACTTGTAATGAATGTTTCCGCTGCTTTAAATGAATATTTTACATTATGTTTGTTTATGGATGTATTATGTGTGAATGATATTCCAGACGCCTTGTATAGTATGGATGTGTTGGACTGCGGTTGACTATTCGTACTGTACGGCGGGTTGTTGACGTGTCCGGTTAGGTCCGGGGCGTGACACTATTACAGTAGAGGAAAAAATTTCACCTCATACACTAACGAAAAAAATTTCGCCTCCCTTAACTCGAAATCCTGGATCCGTCCCTGCCTGATTTATCCAAGGCGAGAAGAAGGGGTTGAAACTTTCTCAATGAAATTTCAAACATGAAATCTTCTACATCGAAGAATGAGTCGATCATCAGCTAAACTGAATCGCTTGTTCAATTGTTCATCAAATATCACATTATTGGATGATCACCTACACACTAATTTTTTTTGCAAAACATATTCAAATGACTTAAACTTATAAGTCTCGTATTATTATAATCTTTTAGCCTTAACTTTCTTTTCTTATATTTGCTATAACTGCCCATACAAATCTATTCACTATAGTTTATATTCGTGTACATTTTCCAATTATAAGAAACCTATGTGACACCCATCCATAATTTATGATAACTTATTTAATCCTGTGTTGACTCGTTTGTTAAGATGTTTTCACTTTAAATTGATTTCAATCTAATTACACCATATTGAATCATACTTTATCATACATAAACAGATCAAGCAAAATATGTTAAAAAAAGCATAACAAACAAAATCACTCATAGATAACAGTAAAACATACTACGAACCTATTACGTAGTACGTTCATATACTCCCTCCGTCCCGCAAAGATGTTTTCACTTTACTTTTTTAGATGTCCCAAAAAGAAGTTCTCCTTTGCATAAACGGAAAGTTATCTTACATCAAAACAGTGTCAAACAGTGCAAAACAGTGTCAAACGGTGTTCAAACAGTGTCGAAACAGTAAAATTTACCCCTCGGTATATTTATTTCTTTAATATGTGTGTAGGTCAAATCGAGAACATTTTTGCGGGACGGAGCGAGTAATAAACATACTCATGTTCTTGTTTTAAAGGTTGTGTCTATTGATTCGTTTTCTTTTTTACTAAAAGATTTTTTTTATTGATGATAAATAACTTATAATAACTCATTTTACTTTGATAAATGTATACATGCTCTATAGTTTCACATTTTGTGTTTCGTTTTGCATGTTTCACAATAGTTGAATGATATATATGTCAAATGCATAACTAATAGCTCAAATGAGCATGCATATTTATTTGCAACAAAACGTTGTGCAAAAATAAACAAAAGTAACTAATAAATTTAACACAATTGTTTAGAAAATGATGTTCACCTATAAATATATGTAATATACTAATATTACGAATATTAGATTATAAATATTGTATGCGACTAAAGTGTATGTACAAATAATTCACTTAACTAGATCATAAATACTACTCCGTACTTATTAAATAAAAATATTTTAAGAATCGAAATAAACATAGTACGTAGTATCAAACAGTAATTTTCTAGAATAAAAAATCAAGAACCAAACAGAATATTAATAAATAAGATAGCAAATTTTAAAAGTTCGATTTTTAAAGTTGAAAGTTGGAATACTATTTTCCAGACGTAACCATTTTCATTCTTAAATGTTAAGATGAATCCTTGCTAACTTAAAAAAATTGTCACTTTTTAACCATTTCATGTGGTGATAACATTCTTAGATGTTAAGATACAAAATCCTTGCTAACTTAAAAAAATTGTCACTTTATATATATATATAAAATTCCCTAAATAAAGTTTCATTTTCCTATGAGTATTTCGCAAACAAGTTTATACTATATCAATTTAGGAAGTCCAAGAAAAAAAGTCTATTTTCATAATATGTGTGCGATTAAAGTATTAAACCACAATCTTTGTATATAGAGGGAGGGAGTATTGAGTTTAACCATAACTTATGAAGAAAACATATTTTTATTTATAATAAAAACATAATAAAAAATGATAAAAATATTTTAATTTATTCATAAAAAAACGAAAATAAATGGAATGCATATCCTACCGTATAATTTTGGGATAAGAAAGGAGTAAAAAAGCAAAACTATTTCCCCATTATTTGCGCCAACAAAATAAAGTCTTTGTCTCGGACTTTTAAATGCCGTTGTCCCTCTGTTTATCCACCCCCACCATTTCCTGTACCTTTAACAACTTCTTTCATCTTCTTCTCCTCAGACTTTGTCGCGTCTGATTCCAAGCACCTCTCCACTTTGGCTTCATTCTCGAGAAATGGATTCAATCATGGACAGAAATCCCAACGATTCTCTCTCCCTCTCCAGAAGATACTTCAACTGGAGAGAGAAACCCGAAGACGACGAGAGACGGCTCGCCGAGCTCGATTTGGCCGTACCCAGACGGAAACCGCCGCGGACGGCGGTGTCCAAGATCCGCTCCGTCCTCAGCTTCGGCACAAAGCGGCGATCCGGGAATCTGGGCACCCGGGTCGTCGGGACTCTGTTCGGGCACCGCCGCGGGCACGTGCTTTTCGCGTTCCAGGACGACCCGAAGCTCAGCCCGGCGTTCCTCGTCGAGCTGGCGATGCCGACCAGCGTTCTGGTCCGGGAAATGGCGTCCGGGACGGTCCGGGTCGCGCTGGAGTGCGAGAAGGAAGCCGGGAAGAAACCGGGTCGGATTCTCGACGAACCGGTTTGGAGAACGTACTGCAACGCCCGGAAGTACGGATTCGCCGTGAAAAGAGAATGCGGGCCGGACGAGTGGAAGGTTTTGAACGCCATCGGGCCGGTGTCGATGGGCGCCGGCGTGTTGCCGGGGAAGGACGGCGACGGAATACGGCCGGAAGGGGAGATGACGTATATGAGGGCCACTTTCGAGAGAGTTGTGGGGTCCAAAGACTCTGAAGCTTTCTACATGATGAATCCAGATAGCCATGGAGGTCCTGAGTTTTGCATCTACTTACTCAGGGTTTAGCTCTACTTTAGCTTAATTCATTAATTATTTGTGATTATTGATATATTAATCCTAAATTAGTTGTTTTTATTTTTTGGTAAAATCCCAAATTAGTTGTGAAATGCCCATTTTGTGAAACTAAATTTCAGCTTAATATCTTATTAGTTGGATTTTTTTGACAATCATGAACAGCTTACTCGTGTTGAATGTGCAGTCTCAATTGTTTTCCAGCTAATGAACACTTCTCCCACCTTTTTATTTTTATTTACATAATCTTCTTTTTCTTGGTTAAAATGAACTTATTTTTTCCAGCTAAAGCTTTCAACGTTCAATCTTTGTTTGTCGTTTCTAACAAATTTGATGATTATAACATCTTTATCAATTTTTTTACTTTTGACTAATAACTTGATCAGTGAAAAGTGCAATTCTATTAAAATATTTTATTTAGCAAACAATGTTTTTATATGGAGTACTCCCTCCGTCCCAAAATGATGGTCTTAGTATTTCCTTTTTGGGATGTCCCAAAATGATGTCTTGTTTTCCTTTTTGGTAAAGAACTAAAAGTAGATTACCATTTATACTCCTCTTTTTTAATGAACAGTAAAAGTAAAAGGATGAACCTTACAATAAAGTAAGAGAGTGTTTGCAACAACTTCTGCTTTAAAAAAAGTACTTTTGGGGTGATTTGGAAAAATTGATTAGTTGTAAAAGTTTATAGTGTTTGAGAAAAAAGTGATTTTGAAAAGTAAAAGTTGGTAGTGTTTGGTAACATAAGTGTTTTTGGTGTATAAAAGGGGGAAAACACTTTTGACACGAAAGCCGAGAAAAGTAAAAAAATGGTAGTGTTTGGTAAATAAGTGCTTTCTAAACCCAAAAGCTGAGAAGTGTTTTTTTTAAAGCTGTTGCAAACCAGCCCTAAAGTTCTTTAGTCTTTCTATAACAATTTTTTAATCTTTGTGCCCAAAAGCAACAAGACCATCAAATTGGGACGGAAGGAGTATTACTTACTGACGTATATACTACAGAGTATAAACAAAGACTACCCCGTTCTATTTATGTGTCTCGTTTGAGATTGACTCAATCATTATTAAAATAATCGAAAAATAAAAGTTGTGGTTGATATTCAAAAATAATACTCCCTCTGTCCCAGAATTAACTTCGGTTTTGACTGGGCACGGAGATTAAGAAAGTGAGAAATGTGTGGTGGAGAGTTGTGCAGAGGAGAGAGAAATGTGTAAGAATGGTTGTGAACCACAAATCCTTTGCTAAAAAGGGAAAGAGGAGATAAATTTGGGACGCACCAAAAAGGAAAGAATGAAGATAATTATGGGACGGAGGGAGTAAAATAAAATGTTTTGAACTATGGTACATATTTTTAGTATAAAGGAAATGTGACACTTATGGGACCTCCCAAAAAGTAAAACGGGACCGAAAGAGTAGTTTTTTATTCCAAGCGGACTTGATTAAAATGAATAAAAATAAAACTTTCATGTTTTCCTCACTTGCATCTAGACATCTAGTTTGTCAAATTTGATTGGCAAATTGATTAATAAAATAAAAACGTTCTGATTGAAGTATGCAGAAAGAGATAAAAATAGATAAAATTCTCAGGAGCAAAACATAGAAATATGTCAAAATGTGACTTCTATATACGCCTCAACTAAGTTTTACACGGAAAGTATTAGTAATTGACAATAATGCCTTTAATGAAACAAAGTTGGAGATTTCTTTTTTCTAAAAGACACGTGCAATGAACGTGATGGTAAACGTCTAAGCTAAGGGTGGCCAAACGGTTAGTGGAACCGTGAGTCGGGTCGGGTAATATTAGTTCGGGGCGGGTTAGGGTCGGGTTCGAATTTTAGAAAATCCAAATGGTTCGGGGCGGGTCCTGAAAAACTTAGGAACTGAACGGATCTTAAAATTTGAAAAAACGGGTACCCGGACTAAACCATTTTAAAATATTATTTTAATAATCTCTATTATATTTAATACTAATCTCTACAATCTAATAAGCCTGAATGAGAGTTAGGATATTGTTGGTATAAATAATTTTGTTGGCGGTATTGTAAGCTTAGTTGATAAGTACTAAATGCTTAATTCCTTGTACTTCATTCCACTTTATACACCTGCAACACTCAACGGCGTCTATCACCTCGTTAAATTAGAACCGCGTACATCTTACATTACATCGGGCTAGCCGCTCAAGACCCAATTCTGTCGCTTGCATCTGCCATCAACGCATCGCCCACATGAGAACGAACAGGTTGTTGCAGCTGTGAGGTGTCTCCTTCAATCATCCCCTCCTTCCCCTTATAAATCTATATTGTTCTACCGCCGGAGGTTAGCATTATGCCCTTTCTCGCATCTCTTATGCCTTTAAATATCCTTTATTTACTGAATGGGGGTTAGGACTTAGGAGATCAACAATTATAAATATACTCTTTGCATTATTCTCAAACAGTCTTAATATACTTATACTTGTATATTTTGAAAAAGCAAACTCTACATTTACAAGAACTAAGTCAAATGCAAATTCCGATTAATGTTTTGATTTTGTGCAAATAAAAAGGTAATTATAAAAATATTTACGTATGATAACGTAACTAACATTGGGCATCGGCATACTCGCGCAACGCGTGATACAAAAACTAGTATAATATAATAATATATAATATACTAACAACATGAGTCGTAGAGATATCTACGTACATTAAGTGGAGCAGAAGAAAGCGGAGGACTCCTTCGGATCTCCCTAACGGCTCAGTCGCGTAGGATTTTTTTCCTCCCTAGCGGCTCTGTCGTCGCGTAGGGTTTTCTTTTCACCAATTGTTTGAGGAGTGAGTGCATCATCAGCTTTTGGAAACGAATCATAGATCCAACAAAGGATAATTATGACTCCTATGGATGATCTCGAGCAGCGTAAGCTCCAATTGAGGAGGAAGTTGGAAGGTTAGTTTTTGGCAAATCAGCAATGGTAGAGGGCGGTGTTGGTAGTGGAGGCGGCTCGGGCGACGAGTAAGGGAGAAGACAGATCGGCAGTCCGCCCCCATCCTGAACCGCCGCTTTGGAGCGATCGTGTTGCTAGGGTTTGGAAGTTTTATCAGTTTTTATATTTTTCATGGTTTTATTTTTGCGTTATGTTTTACATTGCTCTGTCTTTTGTTGATGTCTTTAGTTTTAGGTCTACAATAATGGTTGACAATTCTGCTAGATATTATGTCGATGGAAGGATCTTTATGGCCAGTAATTGTTGTGTCACACCCGTTTGGTTGTTAGCGATTCGTATTGCTCTTTTAGGGGTGATCGTCTTTGAGTCTAGCCGTAGAGTTGATAGTGCTAGTTGGTTACAGATAATTGTTATCAGTGTTGGTCTTGCTGAATTTGTTGTAACGATCCGGTTCCTTATGATATTAATATAAAACGGTTTGTTTTGATGATAAAAAAATACCAACAACACACGAAAGCTCTTCATGTGCTTTTGTCTAGAAAAGACATCCAATTAAAGAAACTTCTCATTCTATTAAGGAAAAATTGAAAATAATAATCCCAAATATTGCCGGTCCGCCGATAATAATCCCAACTATTGATTATTTTTGTATAATCCCAACTATATGGACCGCCCGCCAATAATGGTCCATAACCAAATATTACCTCCTATAAAAAGTGAATTTTAAATAGAAATTAAGCGTAAAAATTAAAAGTTGGGATTATTTATAGGGATTACTTGTTATATCTCTTCTCATCCACTTTAGAAACTACAACAATTTATTTATAGAGACCATTATTGGCGGAAGGTCCCTAAAGTTGGGATTATTATGAAATAATCGATAGTTGGAATTATTATAGGCGGACCGCCAATAGTTGGGATTATTACTATCAATTTTTCCTTCTATTAAAACTAGTTTCCATGTCCGTATAATTAAACTCCTAAATTATTTTCCTCTATTCTCTATTCCAAATGCATCAAACTTTCTTTTTTTAATATTTTTTTGTAAACAAATACCGTTACTCAATGAAGTGTGACATATTCATTTAATTATCTTAATCTTACTTATACTTGGAGATTTAATAAACTTTAAATTGTTTTCATAGACAAATATGTATAATATCTACTTTCATTTCTTATGAATTTATGGTCATGTCTTTTTAATTGGTTTATGAATGATGATTAACATTTTAATTAAGGTGGTTGTGTGTTGTTTTTTTTGGACAAAAGCGGTTTATATTGATAGAGAAACATTCAGCAAGGGACAAAAGAGACAAAGGAAGCCCTTCCAGCCACCGACCCTCGGACCAGCCTGAGAACCAATCACCCTAAACAGAGCAATGTGATTCGCTAATCCTATAACGGGTTTAGATGAGCCTATCGTGGCCAGAGCAAAACCCCCATCACCCCAGCCTAATGTAAGAGTCTCACAAAACAGAACAGTGACAACAAGAACAATAAAAACCGTAAAAGCGTGGAAATTAAAATGCATCTTAATTATCACGAACGAGCTCCAATGTCGTGGTGGTGGTTCTGGAGGAGGCCGAGCTCTACCAATGTCAACACACTCTAAAAGAACGCAGACAGAAGCCCCTGTCCAGACGAAGCTAGCCAAGACACCAACAAAACTCCTCACATTGAGAGAGACAAACCACCCTGGAGCACCAGTGCCCGGGAAAGAACCGCCATAGAGCAAAATCAACACAATCAGCAAAGCAGAACAATCCAATTGGATCATACCTCTATCAAGAATGTGTAATGAGGGAATCAACGTAGATAACCTAGAACATGTCCTCTTCGTCCTTCGTTGTTGATAATTCGGGAGAAGAAGAAGCTGATACACCGCACGCTAGGCCTCTTTCTTGCTAAAATGGCCGATCGAAACTGACTCAATATTACCTGTCTTGAACGCTGATCGAAATCGATCTTGTCTAGCCGCACAAGATCGTCGCCGCTGCTGCTCTTAGGGTTTACATCGCGTCTTTCTCGAGAGGTCAATGGTGGTTGTGTGTTGTTTAATTAATAGATTTGTGGTTCACTATTTTATTAACTAATTTAAAATGATGTCTTATACTTTTATTTTGAATAAATACTATATTATGGTTACATTAAGACGTAGTTAATTTGAGAATTTTATAATTTATTAGAAACTTTGCTTGCACAGTCGTATTTTTTTTTACAAAAAAGGAACCGATGACTCGGACCGAACCGGCCCGTTTCAAACAGGG